CCATCTATAAACTCCTTATTAAAAATTTGAATTACAAAATACTATTGGTTATAAGGGGGCCCCCCGGCACATCCCAAACCCCCGCAAAAGTCCCTTTCAAACAAAAAAATATTAATGGCTTATCTAAAAGTGTTAAATTCAGAAAGCTTCAGGGAAAGGGGAAAAGGTCCCGGGGTTTAAAAAAAATTTTTAGATTTCCTTAAATTGTGGATGGGAAAAACCCCCCAATTTTAAATTTTGTATGAAATTTTTTTAAAAATGGGTTTTGTAAAAAAAAAGGTTAATTGTTTTTTAAAAAATTTTCCCAAACCCAAACTTCCCCCAGGAGAATTTTAAAAAAGGGGTGTTTTTCTCATTTTTCCCTTTTCCGGGGCTCAAAACAATGGGGTATGGAAGAAAATCTTTAAAATTTTTTGTTGAAAAGCAAAGAAAAAAATCACCTGTGCGCTTTTTATTTTTCATGCTATAAACAAAAAAAAGACCAAAAAATGTTGAAGAAACTATATTTTTTACTTTCAGCTATAAAAAAAAATATAGTAAACTCAAAGTTAGTTATAAATTTAGGCCAAAATGTATTCTGCTACATGTTTTCGGTAAAAGAAAATCCCAATAAGTGTATATTGATTGCTTTGTGTGAAAGTTATAGCGTCTACAAACTATGGTATAGATACTGCAATTTACGCCATTTTTTTTGCTATACAGCGCTGCGCTAGTTTAACGGACAATTGCACGGTCATGCAATACGGTACATAAATGAAATTTATGTTCTTTTATTCACACAAAGCTTTCTTTTGGTGCTAATTGATCACCTGTACGCTTTTTATTTTTGGCTCTATAACCAGAAAATAAAAAAATTTGAAAAACAATATTTTCTTATTTCGGCCATAAAATATCCAAAAAAACTAAAATTTCGTCAAATTTAGTCCAAAATGTTTTTGGTTAAAAAAATCCCAGTAAGTGTATATTTATTGCTTTGTGTGAAAGTTATAGCGTCTACAAACTATGGTATAGATAATGGAATTTACACAGCTTTTACTTTCTGACTGCCCATCACATTTCTTGAGGTGCTAAAATACCAGGATAGTACAAACACCCTCAAATGACCCCTTTTCGGAAAGTAGACACCCTAAGCTATCTGCTGAGAGGCATATTGAGTCCATGGAAGATTTCTTTTTTTTTTCCACAAGTTTCTGAAAAATGACAATTTTTTTTTCCTTTTACACAAAGTTGTCATTTAAATGATTTATTTCTCGCACAAGTCATGGGTATATGTGGAATTACACCCCAAAATACATTCTGCTACTTCTACCAAGTATGGGGATACCACTTGTGTGAGACTTTCTGGGAGCCTAGCCACATACAGGAGCCTGAAATCCAATGACCACTTTGAAAGCCTGAAGGTGCGTAACTTCCTCATTACACTTCCTCACTACCCATCACAGTTTCGAAGACCCTGACATGCCAGGATAGCACAAACCCCCCCCCCCCCCCCAAATGATCCCTTTTTGGAAAGTAGACACCCCAAGGAATTTAAAAAAGAGGCATGTTGAGTATTTTGCAGATCTCATTTTTCTCACAAGGTTTTTAAATATAAAAAAAAAAATAGAAAATGTTTTTGTTGTTTTTCTTCATTTTCTAAAAACCTGTGGCAACAAATGAGATCTGCAAAATACTTACTGTGCTTATCAAATTCCTTGGGGTGTCTACTTTCCAAAAAGGTGTCATTTGGGGGGGTTAGGTGCTATCCTGGCATTTCAGGCCCTCCGAAACTGTGATAAGTAGTCTGGAAGTGTAATGAGGAAATAAAGCCCTTTAAAAGCCTGAAGGTGCTTATTGGATTTTGGAGTCCTGTACTTGGCTAGACTGCCAAAACGTCTCTCACATGTGATACCCCCATACTCAGGAGAAGTAGAAGAAAGTATTTTGGGGAGCAATTCTACATATACCCATGGCATGTGTGAGCAGTAAATCATTTAAGTGACAATTTTGTGTAAAAAAAAAATTTTTTTTTGTCATTTTCCAAAAACTTGTGGTAAAAAAAATAAATTCTTCTATTGATTCAACATGCTTCTGAGCAAATAGTTTGGGAGGTCTACTTTCCAAAAAGGGGTAATTTTGGGGGGTGGGGGCATTTTAATGCCCAGTATTAGAAGTTTATGCCACACATCACTCACTCTTCTAACCATGAAGATCAAGCCTTTTCTGACACTTTTTGTTCACATGAAAAAAAAAACAGTATTTTTTGCTAGGAAATTAATTTAAACCACCACACATTATATATTTTTTTTTAAAGCAGACACCGTAGTGAATAAAATGGTGGGTACCACAAATTTTTATGGCACATAGTACTCGCGCAGCGTTTTTTCAAATGCAAATTAAAAAAAACAAACAAAAAAAAAAAACACTTTAACTTTGAATGCATAAAAACACAATATATTGGCCAATTATTTGGTAAACTATAAAAGATAATGGTATGCCAAGTAAATAGATACCAAACATGACATGCTTTAAAACTGAGCATGCCCTGTGCAATGGCGACAAATTGCATACATTTTTAATATCCATAGGCATTGATTTAAAAGCTACCATTTTAGATTTATAGAGGAGGTCTAGTGTTACAATTACTGCCCTTGATCTGACGTTCATGGCAATACCTCACATGCATGGTGCAACCTCTGTTTACATACTGGCACAGGGTCAAGATTTGTCCACACAAGTGGACAAATTTTACACTGTACCTCTTCATTTTTTTTTTTGGATCACTTTTAATGCTATAACAGGGAATGCAAATATCCCCTATACCTTCAATAGGCATTGTCATATATTCTTTTTTGAGAAATCTGGGGTCTATCAGACTCTGGATATCTCCTCTGCCCTTACATTATCTAATCAAACCAAAATCAGCATGATCAGATGCTTTCCCAATTTACAAATGGCGCTGTTTATATCCTGCGAAACTGAAGTGATGAAATGCTTGTAGCTTCTGAATTCTTAGACTATAGAGATGATTGGCAACACTCTGGTCTCCAATCAGCTCTATGGTCAGCTGGCAGAAATACCTGCTGCATTCTCAGGTTCCCCCAATGGCATGGGACTGCCCGAGAAGGCCGTGAAAGGCAGTGGGGGAGTGGGGCATCATCTCCCACTGCTTGTAAAAGCAATCCTGAAGCTAATTAGCCACTAGGATTGCTTTTACATGAAAGCCGATTACCGGCTGAAAAAAACAGTACCAGGATGATGCCTGCAGCTGTAGGCATCATCCTGGTATAACCATTCAAATTCCAGTGATGTACCAGTTACATTGCTGATCCTTGTTATATATGCTATGTTTTGTTTTTTTTGTATGCAGCCTGTGGACTGAATGAAAAAATTAGAAGAAATCTTTGCCAGAAAAAGTGTGTGGTATGCCCACCATTAGAATATACCGCCCTGCATCCACATGGTGGGCACACATTAGGTCACACTTTGCCACATGCGCCAGTTCCAAGATTGTACAAATGTTTAAATAGTGGCACGCTTGAATAAAAATTGTCCACATATAAGTGGTACCCCCATATGGAAAAAGGATCGAAAATCAGCCAACTTAATAAATTATTTTGTTTACACGCTATACCTGAAGTCTGTGTTTCCCTGTGTCAGTCCACACACCTCATTCCCGGAGCCCTGACATTACACCAAGGCCATTCCTGACCAGAAGTGGCTGCACAGGGAAGCCATCTTGGCTTGTTGTTTGGAAGGATGCATCCTGAGGAGGTTATATACTTGTATTTTCTAGCCTTAGATGACAGAGAATATGCCTATCAGACTCTGCATGAGTATACCAGGGATCAGCTGCTAGAGTGCATAAGGGGTCGCTCATTCCCTAGTAGATCAGGGCATGGAGTTCTCTGAGGTGCAACCATTGATTCAGGCTTGTGTTGAGTTGGCTTCATCTAGTACCCCTGAAAGCAGGGATGACTTTCTTCCACCATTCAGTGTGGATCAAATAGAATCACTGGTATGGTTGTTGGAGGATGATCCGGATTGCTTCTGGGAACATTATTCAGCATGTTCACCACATGTGCTAGTGGAGTATATAGACGCAGTGCAGTCTTTGGTCAGACAGGCTATGTGCAAGCTGAGTTTTGTTCAACCAATACTACAGTCCTGGTCAGACTTGTTACACCCAGCCTCAGGCAGCTTGCAACAAACCCGTCCTGCTTCTAATTATTCCTCTGCTCAAAGCTCTGTTCCTGCATTCCCGACAGCACCCCCAATGACAGCCCAATATACCCTGCTATCTACCACATGTCAGTACCCTGTTCCCACTCGCTGCACCTATCCTGCCTTTAACCCTGTAAAAAAGGCTGCTGTAACAACTATTCCCTCCTCTGTTCCATCCTCCAGCTCTTCTCTGTCCCCAGCTACTCCATCCATTTACAGACCTGCATTTACTTGCAGTGCCCCAGTAACTAAACCCAAGAAGAAGCAAAAATTCTTTCCAACCAGTACCATCCTACCAGTATCCAAACCAGCCAGCCTGCTGTCTGAGAACCCGCCTTTTCCGTTGTTCAGCCTGATGCCCTGATGCCCCAGTGTACGCTACCCAGCCTAATGACCCGATCTGGCCTGATGATCCTATCCAGCGTGATGGCCTGGTGCCCGCTACCCAGCCTGCTGGCCCGATCCAGCCTGATGACCCGATCCAGCCTGATGATCCGGTGTTCGTGATCCAGCCTGATGACCCGATCCAGTCTGATGACCCGGTGTTTGTGATCTAGCCTGATGACCCGATCCAGCCTGATGATCCTACCCAGCCTGATGATCCTATCCAGCGTGATGACCTGGTGCTCGCTACCCAGCCTGATGGCCCAATCCAGCCTGATGGCCCGATCCAGCCTGATGGCCCGATCCAGCCTGATGGCCCGATCCAGCCTGATGGCCCGATCCAGTCTGATGATCCGATCCAGCCTGATGACCCAGTGTTCGTGATCCGGCCTGATGACCCGATCCGGCCTGATGACCCCGTGTTTGTGATCCAGCCTGATGGCCCGATCCAGCCTGATGATCCGATCCAGCCTGATGACCCGGTGTTCGTGATCCGGCCTGATGACCCGATCCGGCCTGATGACCCGGTGTTCGTGATCCAGCCCGATGACCCAATTCAGCCTGATGACCTGGTCCGGCCTGGTGCCTCGGTGCCCGTGGTCCGGCCTGGTGCCTCGGTGCCCGTGGTCTGGCCTGGTGCCTCGGTGCCTGTGGTCTGGCCTGGTGCCTCGGTGCCCACTGTTCTACCAGATGATTCGGTGCCCGCTGTCGAGCTTGGTGACCCGGTGCCCGCTGTCATGCCAGATGACTCGGTGCCCGCTGTCGTGCCAGATGACTCGGTGCCTGCTGTCGTGCCAGATGACTCGGTGCCCGCTCTCAAGCTTGGTGACTCGGTGCCCACTGTCGTGCCAGATGACTTGGTGCCCGCTGTCGCGCCAGATGACTTGGTGCCCACTGTCGCACCAGAAGACTCGGTGTCCGCTGTCGAGCTTGGTGACCCGGTGCCCGCTGTTGTGCCAGATGACTCATGCCCGCTGTCGTGCCAGATGACTCGGGGCCCGCTGTCGTGCTTGGTGACCGGGTGCCCGCTGTCGTGCCCGATGACTTGGTGCCCGCTGCCTCGCCTGATGGCCGGTGCCCGCTGCTCCGCCTGATGTGCCTCTGCCCGCTGCCCAGCCTGATGTGCCTCTGCCCGCTGCCCAGCCTGATGTGCCTCTGCCCGCTGCCCAGCCTGATGTGCCTCTGCCCGCTGCCCAGCTTGATGTACCTCTGTCCGCTGCCCAGCCTGATGTGCCTCTGCCCGCTGCCCAGCCTGATGTGCCAGCCCCTGATATCCAGCCAGTTACCTGACCCAGGCGGTGGAACGTTTTGCCCACTAAGGACTGTTTGGAGCGTGCTGAGGCCGCTCCTTGAGGGGGGGGGGGTACTGTCAGGAATGAACTCGCCAATGGTGGTGGGACTCACCTGCCTTGTGGGCTGCAGTACCAAGGATGGCCAGCTGGTGCTCTCAGCAGCCAGAATCTCACTCCTGCAATCAGGCCATCACCTGAGACTGATTGCAGGAGGTGTATTTAAGCAGGCCCATGCCTGTGATCAGTGCCTTGGTGTATGTTTCCCATGAGCCCCTGTACCTGCATCCTGTCTGCTTCCTGCCTGATCCTGACTCTGAACGAACTCCGCCTGTCCTGATCTCGGCTATTCCTGACCACTCTTCCGCTCGCTCCTGGTACCCTGTTTGCCCGTTAGCTACCGACCTGGCCTGCCTGACTACGTTGTGCTCCATATATATATATATATATATATATATATATATATATATATATATATATAATCAGTTTAGGTTTGGGTTTGTTTCACCTTGTTGTATGTATTTGCATTAGTTTTGGGTTTGGTTTGTTGCACTGCATTTATGTTTGTGTTGTCCTTAATAAATTATCTTGTTTACACGCTATACCTGAAGTCTGTGTTTCCCTGTGTCGGGCCACACACCTCTGGTCATTCCCGGAGCCCTGACACCCTAGTCCCTGCTAGTTGGAGGCTAGCCACGCAGGCTTTTGTCTCACTGCCCTCAGATAGTATGCTGCTCCCCAGCCAGTTCAGGCACAGATCTGGTTCCAGGTTGGAGCAGCTCCCTAAACAGGCTGGGATGTTTTATAACGGCCTTAATGAGCCCACTACCTTCAGCTGGGCTCATTACCTCAGTGCTGAAGGACTCAGCACTTCCCCCTAGTGGAACAAATCCCCATAGAGTCTAAACCTTGGACAAATGTATCGTCCATCCAGGATGCAACCAGGTGATTTCACCTGCCTACTGTCACACTCTATTGTACATCAATTCTTCTGAACAGCTTCCACTGAGAGGGATGATGGTATAGCAATAGGCGCCACAGATCCTTGCACCCAATCTACTAGCAGTACACCACCTATTGATTTCATTAGGCATATTTCCATACCCCAGTTGCTGAACCGTAAAAAAAAATACTGTCCCACCCATCCACATGCTCAGCGTCTAAATGTAGCTTGGCCCAACTGCTCGCGTTACAACTGCTGCCTTTCCATTTGGTGGACTTTGCCCCCTTCCGTGAATTTGTGGAATGTGCTGAACATTTTCTGAAAATAAATTTCTTTTCATGTAAGGCCATTCCAGCTCTGTACCATGTGGAAGGCAATGTTTTTGCCTCGTTGGAGAGGGTGGCTAGCAGCAAGGTCCACATTACTGCTGACACATGATAAAGCAGGCATAGTCAGGGACGTTACATTTCCTTCCCAGTGCACTGGGAAACTGTGCTGGAACCTGGGAAGGATGCAATGCAGGGTTTAGTGCTGGAGCTTGATCCGCCACCATGCCTACAAAAAGCCAGTGGTCATTTTGCCACATCTGTCCGGTGGTGATTTTGCCATTCCTCCTTTTCCTCTATGGCCTCTTCTGCTGAATTGACCTCTGAACCAGCAGTGCTCCCTAAACGTTCAAGGGGCTATTATTATTATTATTATACAGTATTTATAAAGCGCCAATAGTTCGCTCAGCGCTGTACATTACAAAGGGAGACAGAACATGTGACAGAACAATACCAATACAATGCAAAACATGAGGGGATCAAGGGCCCTGCTCTTTCGAGCTTACAATCTAGGAGGGAGGGGGTGGTGGCACAGGAGGAGATAGCTGTGGGGGATGGAGTGGTAGGAAGAGTGGAGGAGGGAGGCAAGTTAGCAGGGGGTGGGGTAGGCTTCCCTGAAGAGATGGGTTTTCAGGGTGCGCCTAAAGGAGAGGAGAGTAGGTGATAATCTGATGGGTTGGGGCAGGGAGTTCCAGAGGATGGGTGACACCCTGGAGAAGTCCTGGAGGCGGGCATGGGAGGAGGAGACCAGGGAACTAGAGAGAAGGAGGTCTTGTGAGGAGCGGAGTGTGCGTGCTGGGCGGTACTTGGATATTAGGTCAGTGATGTAGTTCGGGGCAGTATGGTGGACAGCTTTGTACGTCAGCGTTAGGATTTTGAATTTGATCCGTTGCGCAATCGGAAGCCAGTGGAGGGATTGGCAGAGGGGGGGGAGGGCGGAGACAGAGCGGTTGGAAAGGTGAATGAGTCTGGCAGCCGTGTTCAGGATGGACTGAAGAGGGGATAGCCAGCGGCGAGGCAGGCCAGTGAGGAGGGAGTTGCAGTAGTCGAGTCGTGATATGATGAGGGAGTGGATGGGCTATGCAAACAGTCAGGCTAAAAGGTGCCATGCAGTGCTTCAGCTCGTCTGTCTAGCAGACAGGAGCCACACTGGAACAGAGATTCTGTCAGTTCTGCAGGGACAGACTCCAAGGTGGTTGACGCCACAGCAGTTTGGCCAGGAATGGTTGTATGCGACAATGGCACCAACCTTCTCTCTGCCCTCCGACAGGGACACTTGACACATGTTCCATGCTTGGCACACATCCTGAATTTGGTGGTGCAGCATTTCTTCAACAGGTACCCAGACCTACAAGATCTTTTGAGGCAGGCCAGAAAAGTCTGTTGCCATTTCCAGCGGTCATACACAGCCAGTGTTTGGCTGGCTTACATTCAACAGGAATTCAACCTTCCAACCAACCTCCTCATTTGTGATATGCTCCCCAGGTGGAACTCACCATTGACAATGCGGTAGCTGCTGCACACGCAGCAGAGGGCCATCAATGAGTATCTGTGTGAATATGGCACAAGGACAGGCTCAGAGTAGCTTGGCTTCTTTTTGCCACACCAGTGGCTGCTGATAAAGGATGCATGCACTGTCTTGTCACCATTTGAGGAGGCCACAAGGATGGTGAGCCACAACAATGCATGCATCAGTGACACTATCCCTCTATTCTTCCTGCTGGAGCACAAGCTGCATGGAATCATGGACAGGGCACTTGAGGCACAACAGTGGGTGCAAGAGGAGAACTTATTTTCCTCTCAAGGCCCCCTTTATGCAGATACCATTCCTGCGGGGCCGCAGAACACACAGGAGGAGGAGGATTGTGGGAGCATGGAAGTAGATGATAACATATGGCAGACTTTGAGGGATGGTTTTCAGATCCCAGAAATCCCAGGAGTAGTACGTGGTTGGGAGGAGGTAGTTCCTGACAGTGTCATCCTTAGTGACCCAGAGGACTCAGAATTTATTGCCTCCTCAAACTTACGCTGCATGGGCTCCCTGATTCTGCAAAACCCGCAAAAGAACCTAAGGATTTGTGGTATCAAGGATCAAAGGGGAGGGATCATTACTAGTTGGCAACCCTTCACGATTCATGTTAAAATGGTAAAGTTGCAGAGCAGAGGATGAATCGTCTTGAGGAGGCCTCGAAGAAAACACCTTTCCAGACATTAGGTGGTTACCATTTCCTGGACATGTTTCTGAGGTTTCTTTTGGTTAAAGGTGGAGAAGATGGCTGGCTGACCAATGCCTTTAAACAATTCTTTAGTCCTCAGCATCCAGGGCTATTAGGTTTAAGCACCCACTGGCACCCATATGATGCAGGATTATCTAGGGGCAAGACCAGACTTGGAGACCTTTCTAACTGAGGATTCACTGGGTTACTAGGTCTTGAGGATGGATCACTGGCCAGAACCTGCTCAATATGCAATCAAACTACTGGCCTGTCCTGCATCCACCATGCTTTCCAAGCGGACTTTCAGTGCTGCTGGAGGTTTTGTGCTGGGTAAAAGACTGTGTCTATCCTCAGACTCCATTGACCAGGTGACATTTATCAAAATGAATCAGTCCTGGATCAACAGTAGCTATTAAGCCCCTGATCCTGATGTAACTGATTAAAATTGTTAGGAATCTGGGATCCTTTGAAGACTGCCTATGCTTCCTATCCTATTCCTGATTATGCTAGCTTCTAACAATGTTTTTGGTTTAGGGCACCACCAACACCCAAGGCCCAATTTCTTCTGTACCCATTTGACAAGTACATGTAATTTAAGTTTTTTTACAATTGTATTTCTAATTTTTAACAGCAGAGCCCATTCCTGCACTCACGAAGAGTAATTGTGAGGGGTTACAATGTTCAGCTAGAGGCACCACAAACACCCACCTGCATTCGACAGATGCATGCAATTTAAATTTTATACATTTTTTTTAAATTTGTAACAAATATTACATTTGTTTTTACAGCAGGGCTCATTCCTACACCCAGCAAGAGTAATTGTGAGGGGTTACAGTGTTTAGGCACCACTAACACCCAAGGCCCAATTTTTCTGCATGAGGAAAGAACAAACAAAGGGCACACAGGCCTAGTGCATTACCATAAAAAATGTTTAATAAGAAATAAAGTAGGTATTGTATAAAAACAGCTTAGTCAACACCACGCTGAGTAACAGTCCGCAATAGACATCCAAGTAGAACTCTGAAAGGTTATAGTGTGAAGACACATAATAAAAAAAAATATTAAAGAAATAAAAAATTTAAAAAAAAAATACATTTAAAAAAAAAAAAAAGGAACAATGTGGGTTCCCCTCCCTAATTCGTAATAGGCCCTTTAGGTCTGG